TCTGAATTTTCACTATGTCCCTGTATACCCCTACTTCAAAAGATGTATGTTATTTGTCATTTTTCATTAGAGAGATTTCGCACATACGTGAAATTTGTTGATATTTGTGATTTTTTTCTTTCGGAATGCAAATTGTTGGATCACAGAACCTTGCCTTGTTCGTGATGCACGAAAAGTGTATTGTTAATACTTGACGTCGTTTTGGATATTTGGATGTGATTGACGTTTTCGTTAATCTCTAACCACTGTTACTTCCAACTTAATTTTTGAAAGCCAAATATGATAGTCACGAGTTGATATTTAAATCACACGTTGATGCATACATCATGTGTGTACATTAACGGTCGAATACATGCCGACTTATATTTTATATAAATATCCACATTTAACTCAAATCATCAATTCTCAAAACGGTTTATCATATAACCTGGTGAGTTTAATGTTTCATTTTAATTTATAATTGTGGTATGGGATTTGAGTATGATATTAGTCGAGGCTTAAACAGAGCAATAAAACTGCGTGAAACCTTTTTTGAAAATTCGAACGATTTTTCAAGAATCTTCCTTCAAAGTGTTACCACAGTGCTCCCCGGGAGTGGACATATCGTCTTGTGTAATAAAAATAATAGCGGGTGGTTTGAATTTCTGTTTGAGTTTATAGCTCAGCATCTATAACTTTAAAAACATATCGCCTCATTGAGAGGTACGTGCAGATTATGGCGATCTATCATAATAAAAGGCTACTTGTGCAAAAACAGGAGTTGACACGCTTACATTTGGAATTGAAATTTACTACATAATTGTCGACTCATGTTTAAAAGTCATGAAAACAAGGTTGAGCACAAAACAATGACCTGGTTACTGTCTATTTAGCATGGGATCACTAAGGGAAATATTATTAATAACTTAAATCGTCAACGGTTATGTTGTATTCCAAGAAACTTATCAATTTAGAAATGCAAAATGTTCAATTTTGTTTTTCAATTATGAAAATGGCACAACGTTCAAAAAATTATTTAAAACGGAGATATTTACTTATGTTACATTCGTTGGCATGTGTCAGGGAGTAAATAAAAATAATATACATTTGATTAATATCTTGTTCCTAAAGAAGTTAGTTAAGGAGCGGTATATCTTAACGTACTTTTATCATCTCGAACTCAAATATTTTGAAATACTTATTTTGAGAACGCTTTGTTGAAAATGGATTCGAGATGTACTCAAAATTAATACGTAAAAATGTGTATTATCATCTTTATAATCACCTCACAAATTATTTTTGAAATCAAAGATGTTCGATTTTATAGATTTTTATTTTCGAATGTTGACTTACCCTACTATCACACCAAACTACCGTAGTTCTCACTACGTTCTCGAAAACGGGCTTCAACTGTGTACGAACGGACTGGACCTACTAAGAACCGTTTGGGATATATTTACAAACTTCATCGAACGTACTCGAACGGGTAGGTCTTCTAGAACTTAGACAATGCTCAAAATGTTCTCGTGGTCGTCACGCTCTACAATTAGAATAAGTGACAACGTACTAACGACGAGCTGGACGTACTACGAACGGAACCGTCGTACTTCAATCCTACTAGGGACGTTTTAACGAGTTGAACTGTCCGAGGACGTGTTGAGAACTAGGTAGAACTAATTGCAAACGGGTTTAAATTGATTAAGAACGTATTAAAGACTGCTTATGAACGGGTTAGCAAAAATATAGCTATCACACCAAACAAGTTGCCACTGCGTTCTTCAAAACTGGTTTAGAACTGTGTGCGAACGGAATGAACGTAGCTGCAACTTTCTAAGGTCTATTTACGAACTTTATAAACGTTCTCAGACGGGAATGTGATTTTAGAATCTTGAATCGATTCAAAATTCGATGGCGACCATACCGTTCTGTTATCAGGTCATGTTGACCTTCTAGACTAAGGGACGCGTTCTACGACGTTGCACACCGACGTGGTGCGACCTGAACGAACTGCGAACGCGATGGACGTATTGAAGACTGTTTAAGAACGGAGAAGCTAATTATTTCAGGCATATTTCCCGACCACAGCCAGATTGAGCCCGTTTTACGACGTTTTCGTAGGACTGGCAAGAACGGGTAAGAACTAGTTTGGTGTGATAGGGGGGTTAGTTACTCGACTTGACTGTCACACATTTCTTGAGTTTAAAATAACACAGTATTTGCTTTTTTTTAAATGAAAAATATAAGGTCCTAAAGAACCCTATAGAAATAAAGCTGTTCAAAATTGTTTATGATACTAGAAATAGTCTTCAGCACACACAGCGCCATGCCCTATCTAAAAACCAACCTCCACTTTAACACCCCATGCAGACAGATCGCCTAAAATTACATTCGTATGATGCGAGACTACATTCATCGGGAAATTAGAAAAAAGCCACCCATGAAACAAATAATTTTTACTGCTTAATTAATAGCACGATGTCTTGATATATCAAGGTACTCGTTTAAATAGTAATGGCGGTTATTGTTATCAAGATGTAAAGATAAAATCGCAACGAAATATTTGTAGATTTCTTTAAAAAAATAAGAAATATACATCACATATCGAATTTTTCAAAACCCAAAAAAAGTATATAAGGTATTGACTTATGATCAGACATAAGTATGATGTGTACTTCAAGGTAATAAAGTAATACTTGTATCATACTAATGTCCGAGCATAAGTTCGAGTAATAGTTGCGTTTCAAATATTAATTGTGTGACATATTCGAGACCAATATGTAAATGCTACCAGGGGAATCACACCCGTAGGCCTTACAATGTATTACTGTTTTAGAAAACTCGATATGTGATGTATTTTAGTTCTTACGACATTCTTTTTTCAATCACCGCCATCACTTCCAAACGACGTTACCTTGAAATATCAAGACATCATACTATTTTCATATTTATAAACCTTAATTTGGCTGTCATTCACCATTTATTAAGCAGTAAAAAATAATTTGTTCAATGGGTGACAAATATTTTCAAATTTCCTGGTGAAAGTCGACTCGTCGAGTCTCACATCATACGAATGTAATATTAGTCGATCTGTCTGCATGGGTTGCTTTAATCATACACTTTAAGGACGGTCGCTTAATAGTTCGAACAAACTTGCACTGGATCATTTTCGTGAGGTGCATTCAATGTGACCTACGATTCGTCACTTGTAAGTAGATTTTAATCATTTAACCCAAATTAAGATTATGGTCAACTGAGACATTGACTTTTTGATAATGAAATCAAATACATCTAGTAATCGAGGATTTGTTTCCGAAAATATTAATCTAAAAACTCGATCTAAACTAAAAAGTTTACAAATGATTGCAAATCGAGAATGAAAACTTCAGATTTTGAAAAGCGGAAGACATTGAATTGAAATCAGGAAGCGTTGATATAAAGAGACGGAAGAAATACGAATTAAAATACAAGCGGGCGACAAAACTTGAGAAACCGACGTATAAAACAAATTAACGAAACTGAAAAATAGGAAAACTTCCAAATCGCGCATGTTCTGCCTCAAAGTAGAATTTTACATGTTACTTTCTCCAAGAAGGTATTCTTGCATTAATTTTTCAATTTATCCGGAAATCTTAAAAATGAACGTTGGCGGGGGGTGGCGATTGAACGTTAGAAAATACATAAACTCTGCAAGATTTATTTTCTTATGAGAAAATTTAAGTTGAAAAAGTGTCACCACTATCACGGGGTACCATCGAATAATTTTGGCAACGTACCGGAGAACGACATTTTACTAAGAAATGGCAATAATTTAGCACAATATATTTTTAACTAGAATTCTATTTTGATTTTGACAAAAGTAAGTATTCCATGCAATAACTATTTCATTCATGAGTTTGTAGGAATTCTGTTGGAACCCAGTTCTGATCAAGTACGAAGTTATTGAAATCGGCGCAGACGGACTTTACTCCGAAAGATGGTTTTTCGATTATAACTTTTCACAACATTTAAGTATAGACTTTTGAAAATAGTACAGAATAGTCCTTATACTTTTGAATAATTCTGTTATTTCTGATTCACACGACTCTGATTTGTTTAATTAAAAAAAAGTTTTAAAAATATTACTTAGGAACGTAACCGGAGCTGGGAACGTAACCGGAGCAGCTCAGTTGAATTATTTAATCAAAAATTAAAATATATGATTTAAAGCACATTTAAAAACATACGGGATTGTTCGAATGCGTATTTATTACATTTTATTTAAAGAAAAAAAAATTTATCCATTGTGAAAAATTGAATTTGGTATTTACCATGCATAAGTGCACTTACCTTAGAAAGG